CAGTACTACTTTACCATCAAGGTTTTTAAAAAAAATCAGCGTAGAAGTTGAACTAGCTATGACTGGGGTTCTCAAGCTGGGGGTCATGACCCTTCATGGGGTCATGTGGTTATTAGTTGGGGGGAGATCTGTCAGCCTCCACCCCCAAAGCTGCTTCACCTCCAGCATTTATGATATTAAATATAAAAAATGTGTTTTTAATTTACGGGGGGGGGGGCGGGAAATTACTCAGAGACAGCACTCAGAGACTTGCTGTGTGAGAAGAAGGTCACCAATACAAAAGTTTGACAACCGCTGAGCTATGAGCTGTCTATATGTCCCCATGTTTTTCCTGAAACGTTCTTAAATGTCTTCCATCATGCACCTCCTCTTACCTTCAGCAGTTCCTTCCCTTCCTTCAGTCACTGGGCTGCCCCTTATCCTCCCACAGTTCCAGGCAGGCAGAATGAGAATGAGGCAGAACACCTCCAGTCATTTGTAGAAGCCCAAAACACCCCATCTTAGTAGGTATAAAAAGGGGGTATTTGATCAATGGGCTTGGAAGTATCTACTCTGTCATTTTGCTCAAATTAAGTCCATAGGGAAAAAATGGAACAGTTCAGATATTTGCAGAGCCCTCAGTCTCAGAACAGAGTTCGTTAGGAAGTTGGCTTTCCTCTTCCCTTTCACTTCTGAATGGTAGACTGTGAAGAAAGGTTCTGAATTGACTGTACCTAGATGGATGAAACTGTACATAGCAAGGTAGTATTTGGAGTCTTTTTTGGTAGTGAATATAATATGCTGAATTACATAATCACTCTAAACAGGACATTATTTTTCTAGAAAACAGACTATACTTTGACACACCTATTTTATATTAATTTAGCGCTGAAGTTCTTTTAATGACTTGTTAAGCATTTATTTGAAAAGGGAGAAAACAGCAGAGACTTATAACTAAAGAGGCAGATAACAATATTGGATTCTATCAAAAATCTTAGTGATAATTTTGGTTCCACTAATTTTGATGACTCATTTTAAAATTAATGTTTTAATAGCTTTTTATTTGAAAATTATCTTCTCTCCGACATAGAAATCTTGGTTTCAAATATATAATTCCAGTAATTGATGTAAATAATAAGTAACTAAGCATCTGCAGATGTGTTTCTGCTATCTCTTTATGAAGACTTCAAAAGTAGCTGTCTCTATGGATTCTTCGCAGCAAGAGGTGGCAAATCTATTTGTTGGCGTGAGGAAGTGGAAACAATGATTAAGATAGTTGGACTAACAAGTGTTACTGGAGCTAATAGTTTTACTTGCAGTGCAGTACAACATACATACATTTTCAATACACAACCATACAAATCCAGGATATGGCAGGTAACCTCGAAATCATTTTCCAGTGTCCTTGTTTATATCTGTTGTCAACTATCATGTGCAGTTTTATCAAAACACAACATTCGGTAAATCATAAATAAAATAGTGAAAACAATTTAAACTCCAGAGCTACCATATAAACATAAAAGGATTCCCTTTAGGGGACTTGAAATCCTTTGAATTATGCATGTATTGTAGGTTTCAGTAAGATAAAAGGGTTCTGGCACCAAAAAAAAAATAAAAAAATAAAAAAGCCAACTTTCTCCGCCCCCAAGGAATAATACGCATAATGGGGTGAAGAGAAAGTAAACAGCTGAAGCAAAAAATACCCCATGATTACTCATGAAACCTTATAAAAGTGAAATAAAGCAAATCAAATAAGGTGGAATTAAACAATGCTAAGACATTTAAAACTTCCATTGGTTCTAAAACCACCAACAGAGGTGGATCCCAGAGAACTCTGTGCCAATCTAATACATTGAAAAATTGACATCTTCAGGGAAACCAATATGAGAGAATTTAAAGAACAGAAAAGCTAAGGAAATGGAAGGCCATGAAGTGATTTTTGGTTTTGTAATTCCAAAGTACTTCGTTTGTGAACAAGGCAGTATCACCTGAAAGCCCTTTTTTATATCTTGTTATAATCATAACTTCTTGTCTTACAGCTACAGGACCGCACGCAGTTTAGTGACCGAGATTTAGCCACTCTCAAGAAATACTGGGACAATGGCATGACCAGCCTGGGCTCAGTCTGCAGAGAAAAAATTGAAGCTGTTGCTGCAGAATTAAATGTTGACTGTGAAATAGTGCGGGTAAGAAATGTACAGTCTCTCCGTTATCTTGTTTCAGAAGCAAAAATAGCATCGATAAAAAACCTTTTAAAATTGCATGAGGTAGCCAGAAATATATTTCACATATTAAATAATGAATGGCCTGTTAGGATGTACTCTTGCTCTTTCACCAGTCTATATATAGATAAAAGCCCTCAGGTGAGGGTTTTTTTGTTTTTGTTTTTTTTATTGATCATCAGCAAGAGCAGCTTTACAAAACAATTGACATTCCATTTAGAGTGGAATTTATATAAGATTTTAAATGAGCAGGAGTATCCCAGCAGATTGAAAAGAACTAGCAATTATGATAGGACTAAAATACGAAGTGCCTCTAGGGATAAGGGAATGCTTTTGGTGTAAAATAAAAAATATGTGGAAAAAAATTGATCGAAATGGGCGGGGGGGGAATACTTTTGTAGGAACCAGGATAAGATGTGACAAAGATGGCAAAGAATATCCTGAGGGATGCTGGGGAATTTCCATTTAGTAGTCCACATAGTCATCAATGATTTCCTTAGGGAAGAAAAATGAATACAGTGTTGATGTGGTTGATCATTTTAAAGAGCCATGCAATGTAACTGAAGAAAATACTAAAATGATAGTGGACACAGTGGACAGATATTCCAGAGGTGTAGAGAAGATTGCAATCCTGGGGGTATTCTAAAATATCTGGATTTCAGGATCTGTTCTACCTTGAACTTGAAATCTGAATACTACAGCAGAAGGCAGAGCTGCAGAATTGTGATCAACATGGTGGTCACATATGGGTAGAGTTTATACAGATGCATCATGCCCATGGGTTAGGAAAGTGATAATCTCTTCATTCAATACTAATGAGACTCTGCCTAAAGTAAAGCCTAGAATTCTGAGCCCTGACTAATAGAAAGTTGGGAGGAACTTAGAGCAATTAGGGATAGAGGAATTGACTTCTGAGAAGAGTTCAAAAAATGTAATGTGTTTAGTTTGGCTGTGTGATGACTAAGAGGGAGCACAGTTGGAACAGTTTACAAATATTGAACGAGTTTGCCAAACCAAGTGGTGGAAGTTCTTTTGCCTGACTGTTTGACAGTAATTGGAGAAAAATGCAGGACAACATAGTGTAGAGAACAGTCTTTTATTAGCAGGAAGATGGACGTGACAAGTTACTTTGCCCTTCACTTTTCATGGTTCTGACAAGTAGGTGTTAGTCACAGGATTATTTTTTTTATCTTGAGTCCAAGCTAACTGTATGATGATCTTTCATTTTAGTTAACTTGATGTTTCATCATCTTTCTTTGGGAGCTCTATTAAGCACCACAATAATGAAAATATTTATTATTTAGTTAAGTAATGTTCATAAACTGGGCGGTGCGTGCATGAAATTTTCATCATATCAGTAATAAATTGAAATATACACAAGCATTTAAAGGAATGTTTCATTTGTTGTAATTCTTGAATTTTTGGATTAAAGGCTTTTTACCATTATGTGACCAAAACATTTTTATTTCGTTTTATGTAAATTTACTTAAATCCCTTTGTGCCCTTGGAGGCACTCTAGTGTCATATTAAGTACAGAACAGTACTTGTTAAAATAGAAAACATTAGAACTGAAAAATATAGTCATGTACATTAATTCATTTTTGAAAGGTTAATTACTGAGACCGCTCTCTACATTCACATTTAATAGTGTGGGGATTTTTTTGAGCCTGGAGGTGCTAAAAGAGGGACAGGTAATACATAATACGCTGGGATTTAGGCTACTGCAAAGGTTTTATCCTTTTTCAAATATTGGGGTGTTTTACGTTGGTATATGGAAATGATCAGATACTGAGCATGGTACTGCACTCTTTGGAGCAGTGGTTCTTAACCTTTACTGCAGCCTGCACCCCTTTGGTTCTCAAAATATGTTCTCGCACCCCTTATCAAAAATCATTGAAGTAGGTCAGTTCTTTAAACCTAGATGTATTTTTTGTTTGTATATTACAGTAATTGTTAAAAAATGTATAATGTTAATAAATACATAGGTTTGATGAAACAAACTAGTTGTACTTACGTGCCTGTGCTTAATTTGTGTTTTCGATTATTTACCTTCTAAAAAAATCTGGCATGTCTCGCACCCCCAGAAAGGGCATCTCGCACCCCCAAGGGGCGTGTGCACTCCAGGTTAAGAACCACTGCTTTGGAGATTAGTAAATCAATATTTTTTTTAGGCATTATGGGCCCAATTATTTATTTAATAGGACATCTTGGATAGAGTATGATGGGTTAAGCCCTTTGATCCCTTAGTTCTGCAAGTCATAATATGCCTCAGGATGCCTGTGAATTGAACTCAGTGGAGTATTGTATGGGTGCAGGGGTCTGGCTGTGTGGTTTTGCTTTCAGCATCAGGCCTTGTGTTCATAAGAAGAGCATGTTCAATAATAGAAATTGTCTAGTGTATTTGACTACCATCTATGGCATTTGTAATTGGGCAGCACTACACTGACTGTAAAAAATGGGTCTGGATGGAAGAAAGCCACTTCTTGCCTCACCATTGTCCCTATATAGTCAAGACAAACAACTTAATCCCATCAGTAGTAATCACATTGATACCAGAGAAATTCCCCAGATTCCATTTTGTATTCTTGACCTCCTTTTGAATAAGCAAGAGTCACTCCACCATTGGAAACTGCAGACTACATGACACTAGGGTGACCAGATAGCAAGTGTGAAAAATCGGGATGGGGATAATAGGAGTTTATATAAGACAAAGCCCAGAATATCAGGACTGTCCCTATAAAATCGAGACATCTGGTCACCCTACATGATACTTCAAAAATAGGGGAAAGGTCAGCTGAGGTAAACAACATAGAATTGGTGGAAAAACCAAAGTAGGGGAAAGGTCAGCAGATCATAACCCTGAGGTAAACAACAGCTGCACCCTAAAAATAGAACTGGCAGTGAGCATGGATGGAATGTTGGCAGTGAGCATGTGCAGTAAAGATCTTACAGGAAGATATTATCAAAGGTGTCTAAAAAGTTCTGGCAGGATAGTCAGCATGTCAGTGGGCTGATAGGAGGAGAGAGTAGGAGCTGACAGGCAAGAAGGACAGAGAAGAAGAGCAAAGCTTGCCTGAGCAGTCTATTGACAGCAGCAGCAGAGTATCCTGCCTGGTCCAGCAGCAGTGGGAGAAGAAGTAAAAACAACACAGCAGCAGAGGGAAGCAGAGAGAAAGTTCAGGAGAAACAGTCAGCAAGCGTGGAGTAAGTCTGTCAGACAATATTACAGAATAATATAGCGTAGTGAGTAACAGAGTGTATGTGTGCGCTTGGGTTAATAAAGATGTGTGTTTGTGTTGTGCTATTTGTAAAGAGAATGTATATATGTAAGTTTTAAAGAACATTTAAAACTGCTGTCAGCAACCTCTGAACAACTGAACAAAGCAGGGCGCATCACTTAGGATCATCTCAACTGTAAGGCAGTATGGTTTGGGGTATTCTTTAACTTGCTATAAGACATTTGTGTTTTAGATTATTATTGTATTAGGGATTATTATTTGCACCAATAAAAAGGTGCCTTGTTTTGAAAAGAACATTGTCTTTGTGTCAGTCATTTATCAGAAGCCTGTGTCTGTGTCCTCCAGGTATTTCCTTAGCCACCCTGGAGACCCATATGTCAGGAAAACAGATTGGTTAGTAGGTGAGCTATTCTAGGAGTACCCTAAATCTGTTTTTGGGGTAACAACATCTGGAGTGCACTGCTCTTAATCATACAACAGTTGAGCAAACTCTGCTCTCCTTTACAACCATAAACAAAAGAATGTATATTTTACCAATTCCTGATTGTACCAGTAGGACTGAGATGGCTATCAGTCCCTCTTCCTCATTAAAAAAATGTCTCTATATGTGTTAGGATTTTGAAGGTGCTGTGTAAACACCAATATAATTGAGGTGACAATTACAAGTATTTTTCAGCACAGAGCTAGTGTTCCTATGTGTATAAATCTTCTAGGCCTAACAGTACACCACTCTACAAATTTAAAAGGAGATAAGGCAATTGACATGGTGTTGCTACTGGGTCAATACATGGACATTTTAAAATGGAAGAAGACTTTCACCATAACCAGCAAACTTCTGAAAGCCCTTTTCAAATGTCCTTCATATCAGAACAACAGAAATTATCATTTAGAGGTTTTTTTCAGGAACAGGGCCTAGCTATGAAAGGCACAAATCATGAAAGATTGGAGGCTGGCAGCACTGCAAGGGTAGAGATTTTTTTTAAGATTGTTTAACAGACACAGATTTGCGGTCTATGCCTTCATTTAAGTCGGGTGTCAGAACTGTGTGTTTAACCTTAGCTGGTGACTGCGTGTTTGTTTTTTAAAATATTGTTTTCATTGAGCACATTGTTCAGAGTAGTACTTCTCAGCCTTAACTATTGGCTAACAAAGATTTTATTTGGGAGTAATTCCTGTAATCAATGAATTAATAATTTAATTGGTTACATTGTTTCAAAAAAGTAAGTACCAAACTTGCATCATAGCACTCAGGTATAGTTACATGAAACTAAAACAAATATTCCCTATGTTCTTTCAGTTTGTGAAGAAGTGTGATCAAAATTAATGGTTTAATGTACATACACAATTTTCACGTTATGTCTTTTTTTTCATTTTACTTTGTTTTAATTTTATTCAGTTCCCCTCCCCACAGATTTACCCCCTTGCAGTAGGTTTTTAAGGGGGATCATTTTTTCTTAATGATTTGTCCCCAACAAGAAATGTTGTTGTTCTGGAAATGCACACATACGTGATCTATAAGCATGGCCCCATATATAATTAGAATTCTTTAGTGCAAAGAATATGAGGAAAATCTATTGTTTTTTCTTTCTCACATAAGAATGACATTTCACCACTGTGCACCATCAAATTCCATCAGATTTAGTCCTTTCAGGTTCGATGGTGTAGTTTGTCCCCTGGCTCCAGTGCTTCCAAAGGGATTGTGGTCACATAGAGTGACTGCAGGCT